ACCTATTTGTCGACTTTAAAGCCGCTTTTGACAGCACTAAAAGGAGTTGCCTATACGCCGCATTTGTACCGATTAAAACCCTGCAAACTGTCGAATAGTGCACTCTTTAATTTTTTAGCAATTTTACGTGTACTTAAGGCCGGATCATTTATAAACTCGTGCAAAATGGTTTGTCTCGTTTCTAGCTCGGTTGCCATTTTTAACTCAACTAGGAATCAAATTCAAATGAAATTTCTTCTACGTTCAACTAAGGTATTTGAATTTCAAAATATTGAATTCGTTTTGTGTAAGTTATAAGCTTCCCAAAGTGTCGCAGTTTTGGTGTGTTCACCCTTTATTCTACATTTCGATCGTAGTTCCGTTTTTCTAAGATGCAAATTTGTTGACGGAGAACGTTTCGATTGTTATTTTCGTGGGTTTAAATAAAATTTTATAAAAAAAAAAATTAAGTGAAATATACTGTGCATGATTGTAAAAGTCATCATAAATTAATTTTCTCCATTTCTGTTTTTTCGTGAGCGGCAATACGGGCAATACGAAAAATTGCCTCAAATGATGGCCACCAAAAGTTATATTGCGCGGGGGTTTCAAAGAGGAAGTCCAGGCGTTGTTGTTTTCATTATCTATAAATAAGACTGTGAAATGCACTGAATGCAATTTATTCTTTTTATATAAAATTAATAGATGTATGTACATACGTACATACATAACATGTGGGGTTACATCAAAAAGATGTTTTTATTATTGAACTCTTTTTTACCCACTTTTTACAAAGAGGTGCGTATGTTGTCTCGAATCCAATTTGCTATGGAAGGATAAGCTTTGTTCTTCCCCTCCTGATGGCTTTCAAATTCGAATTCATTTGCGTTCAGTGAAATGTTTTGTTTGTTGTGCAGTGCCCAAACAAAGTTTATAATTTCACTGGCCTTGAGCGGTGAGTAACACAGTTCAAGATGAATTTCTTATGATTATTCACTCATTTGAAAAAGATCAAACATGTCCCTAAATCTCCGCCTTTCAACTTCCGCAACGGCAATCTGGAACTCGTTTCCCTCTTCAAGCAATAACGGACCGGCTATGGATTTCATTCTTATAATTATGTTTCCACTTCAATTAAGAACAAACGAAATTTTATTTTTAAATTGCAATGAAGTTGGATATGTTCAGTTATTTTAAAATATTTAAAAAACTTTAACTTCATAAGCTACTATAGTTTGGTGGCAAACTTTGTTTTGTTTCGAGTTCACACATTCCTAGGTAACCAGCTGATTTCGAAGATGTTTTCGCTCTTCCTCTTCTTCTTTCGATTCGATCGTAACCCACAATACCAAGTCGTGCGGAGCGGAATGCGGGAACGTAATCGAAATGCATGATAGGGCTGATTACAAAAAACAGCCAAGTGTGTAAAGGTGCCGTGAATGTCAGATTAAATCGACCTGTTGCACCATTGAGTATATCGTACTCTCCAATGGATGTGATTTTCAAATATTATTTTACGTTTAAGCTTTTAAGCTATTTCGTCTGAAATAAGTATATGTATATTGCATTTCTGTAGAACAATGACACGCACCCATTTTGAAATTGCCACCAACTATACTATAAAGATTCTAGGACAGATTCACTATAGAACCGGATCATTGTTGCCGCCAGAGAGTGAAGAGGAAAAACTTCTTCAAATTGATTTCGTTTTGCGAGAGTTTCAAGAACTTTTTCACGGACATAACACTTTCGTTAGGTTATTTAAAGCGGAAAATGACCACCAAACCGTAATCTTAGCAGATGAATATGCCAATGAAAACCGTAAACGTGAATTGTTGGTGAAAATGCTGGACCAAAAAGTTTCAATAAAAAAAACTTATTTTGGGCGGGACGAAGTTCGCCGGGTCTGCTAGTTTGTTTTACATAGAGAAAACGAGCAACGCCTTCAACAAAAAAATTTCCCAAAATCAACGGTAAATCCTAGCTACTCCAAACTTGCACTTAAACCAGACCAGGTGTGGAAAAAGGTCGGACCTCATATTCGTGTTCAGCGACCCTAAAAACATACTATGTCCTGTGTTTTTTATAATTAATTTAGGATTTTACTACCTCTTTTACATTACCGAGCTTGAAAACTGAGTTTCCATTTTCTTACATGTGTTTCAAGGCTCAAAGATAAGATGAAATCGCTTAGATAAGTGTGCCACAAGTTTTTTTTTTTCAAATGTCGAAAATCAAAAGTTCCATATATATTCCCATGGTTGTAGCTTCAAACAATGCATTAGAAATATGTTTTTCCAGCAGACCAGAGACAGAGTAACAGAATATTGCGCTAAGAACGAAAATGTGAAAATCAAATAAGCGCAATCTAGTAGAAATGAACAGCACACTGAAAAACGTATTAAAAGTTAAATAATCCCAAGCCAATTACAACACTGCGGCATAGTATTACCATATTTTCATTCTTTTTTTATAAAAAAAAAAATAAATATAAGAACTAAGGCCCATATTATGAGTTGCATTCGATTTTTGATCTTCGCTGGCTATCGAAGATCGAGGTCGAAAGTGAAATTCATGTTATGAGCTATGCAAGTGTGTCGAAATTTTCGTGGAGTATCGAATCTTCTGTCGAACAGAATTTTGCCTTCGTTGGTGTAGCGAAGTGTTAGAAAATTGTAAAAAATGTATGATTTTGCATTTGTTTTCTTACTTTTTGGCGGCTAGACACTAATTTTAAACAATTTTTATTAACTTCATGCAGTTCTAACGTCATGAATACTAAACACAAGCTCGGAAGTCTGGTTTTACTTATGCAAGTAAATCCCGATACGCTGTTGGCACGATCTCTGAGGACAAAATCACAGAGCTGTTTATAGTTTTAATATATTTTAAATAGATTTGGATCACAAAATTTCATAAATATATTGTATGTCAAAATATATTCGAAAGACTGCAGTTAACCTTTCTTAAACGTTTTCTGCTCCTGGCGAGTTTGCTAAGCTCTTATCCTCTGACGAATCTTTCAACCAGAACTGCGTTGTACTAATTAAAATTTTTTTTACCACGTTTTTATAAAATCGCTTTTTTTTCTATTTCATTTTAATTTGCACAAATTTACATATGTATATATGTATAAGCACACTATTTAGTTTGCTCGATTTGTAAACAAAGCTTCTCAACGGTGAAAAATATACTATGGTGAACAACCTAAACGAGCGAAATTCACAACAACGCTATTCTTCATCGAATGAGCGCCATAATACCAAATGAAAATTCGTTCAATCAGCACTTTCGACCACAGTCGAATATCGAATGCAACTCATAATAGGGGCCTAAGTCTAATGAAAGCGACAGCTCTTTTTTCCTTTGGTAGCGGCTAATTTTTGTTCCACGAGCAGAAAGTAGCAGCTATTCTCGGGTTCTAACGACCGAAGTCGTGCATAATTTCCTCAATCACAAGCTCCGATTTCGTTTGCCAGTGTAATCATAAATTAACAGCACGTTACGAAGCACAGTTTTATTGAGAAAAAAATAGTCCATGTAAAATTTGCAATTTTAACAAAAGTGTTAGGACTTCTTTGGAATGGCCCAAGAATAAATCCAGCGCGTGTGACGATTCACATATGACGCCCATGATTCAGCGGGCTTTTCTGATAAATGCTGTATTTCCTTAAGATAAGTTCTTTGATGATGTTCCTTTAGATCTTTTGCCACTTTGTCTAATTTTTGGATCACTTGCTCGGTTATTGAGCTTTCGACATCTTTACGGAGTGTATATAATTTTTTTTGGTTGTATAATAGTCCAACAACTGAGAGAACAAATGTTATAAATGAGCCCAATAACGTTCCAAGTATGCCAAAAACTTTAATCATGTTGGAATGAATTTTCTCCTTTTCGTACGAATCATTAATAGCCACAGAAAAAGCGTTAAATAGGTACTGTTCTTGTTCATCAACAACGGCTAGTTCCCTTTGAAGCTCATCAATTTGCGTACATAACTAAAAGCAAAAAAATAGGAAAATTTATTAAACTATTGAAATAAATTGTTTAAAAAAACAGTGGCTTTGAAATTAACTTGTTAGCTCAAAACTAAGGTGTATTTTTTTTTTTTTTGTGATATTAGTGTGATGGCAGAGCGGTCAGCTCGCAAACGCCAGGTTATTCCACTAGTTGGTGAATACTTGTGTTCACCAATCCTTGATAATTAAGCAGCTTGTTCCTTCAGGGGTAAGCAATAAAGACTTGCAACTTTTGAAGACATATACGGTTATCGATTGTGGTAGATGCGTTCGTTTGGAGTGGCGAGATTGTTTTTTGATGGCGCGTTTGTTTTGTAACGAAAGGTCTGATTAACCTTGAACCGAAGTAGCGTAGAGAAGGTTGGACAGTGAAGTCGCGAGCATTGAAGTAGGCAAAGCCAATCATCGATGTATAAGAAAGTTAAAAATTTAATTGTGCTTCATCAATAAAGTCAACCAGTTGTCGTATTTTGTTAAAATTCATACCTTGAAAAATTTGTGCAGTTATTCGAATCTTTAACTACCGGGTACTTGTCTCTGATGTTTTTGAGATCTTCACAGTGTAACGTGAGATGTTCAAAGTTGCTGGCGAGGCCGCGAATACATCTATTTGAGCGAACGATTTTAATTTTATGAAAATAGGCCTGATCGTATGTGTAGCCAGTTAGTATTCTGTTAATAATCTTGGTTTGTTTGGGGGAGAGAGGGCTTTTGTTGTACAATGGCTTTTTTGTTGGTTTGGTGAAAATATTGGCAAATAGGTTTGGATTTTGACTAGAAAATTGAAGAAATTCATTGTACCAACTTTGCCTAATCTGATTATAAATTAGTCTGCTGGTTTCGTTGATAGATAATTTGACTTGCAGCATTAGTGATGCTGTAGTAGCTGATTTGGCAATTTAGTCAGCTTTTTCATTCCCTTCTATACCTATGTGTTCAAGGGTCCAGACTAAGTGTACCCTTATGTCATTAGTATTCATTAATTTATGTATCTCTCCTACATTGCAGTTGTCAGTCTGTTTTTTCTTTAGTAGTGGGCAAGCTACTAAACTGTCTGTAAATATCACAGATTTTTCATATTTCAGGTTTATAGCAATTTCAATGGCTTTTTTAATCGCTTGGATTTCACCAAAGCTTGAGGACGTTTTGAAGTTAATTTTAAATGCATATTCTTTTTTGGCAGAAAAGTCGTATAAACCGCATCCTGTACAATCGTTTTGTACAGATGCGTCTGAGAAAAATATTTTGAAATTGCTGTTTATATAATCACTTACGGTTTGTTTGTATATCATTAAGACACATTCTCTGGGCGTGTTTTGTTTACTATTAGGTAACATGTTGGTCTTGACAATGAGATTTTGTGGAAGGGGCTCATGCTCAACCGCACCAAGGCGATCAAAGAAGGCTTTGAATTCAGCATATACTTTGCTATAGCTGGTATTAATGCTGGGGTTGTTGATAATGGACAGTCTAAAGGGGTTGTCAGATGCTAATATTTTGGTTATTTCCTTGGCAGTGAGCCATTTGGATCTCTCCAGGGGTGGTAGCTCATTTGCAACTGCATATAAGGTTGGAATTGGCGTAGCTGGGGTTACTCCTAGTGCTCTTCTCAAAAAACTGTTATGAAATGTTCCGATTTTTTTGTTGGTGGTATTGCTGCTATTGGCTGTGGAGGTTCTGCAGTACTCAATTTTGGACCGAACAAAGGCCTTACAGAATTGGGTCGCAACCTTAGGTTGTAGTCCCGCTTTGACTGTTGTGATTAGTTTGAACAGTTTGGAGTTGTTTGCAGATTCTTTAATGACATTGTTGTAATGCTCTGTGACCGTGAGTGACGAATTAATGTTTCTTCCAAGAAATTTTATTGAGTTTGACTGTTCTATCCGAACATTATTATAATTTATGTTTATTTGTTTGGAACTACCTTTACTAACAAATAGAATCTTGGTTTTAGTTGGATTGAATGTGAGGTTTAGGTTTGAGCATTCATGGCCAAACTGATCAATTTTACGTTGTAATATGTGTGTGGCGTTTTCAACAGTATCTCCATACGAGGCAATGATGAAGTCATGTGCAAATTGACAAATGTCTGTGTTCGGGTCCCTAATTGAATGTAGCTGCATAGTATAAATGTTGAATAGCATCGGGGACAGGCAGCTACCCTGTGGTAGACCACCATTGATTTCAGTGGTTTCTCCTGCCAGTGTGAGTTTCCTGAAAGCTAGAAAGTTTACTATCCATTCCGTATAGTTTTCATGAATCCCTATATTACTTAATATGGACGCTAGTTTTGTGATGTTTACACAATTGTAGGCATTGTTGATATCAACGGAACAGATAATAATTTTCCTGCCTTTTTGTTTGTTAATGGTCAGTTCCTGAATTAGGTAGTTTACAGCCATGGTGGCTGAGTGAGCCTTTCTATATGCAAAAGTTGTATAGGGAAGGATGTTATTTGAGTCAAGAAATTATTCTATTCTATTTTTATGGCAGCTATTAACACATTTTAGTAAAACAGATATCAGTGCTATTGGGCGAAAATTTCTAAAATCGTTTAAGTTTTTGTCACTTTTTGGGATCGGTACCACCTTAACCGTTCTCCAGCTGTCAGGAAGTTGATTTGTGAGGAAAACATCATTTAGTGCAGTGCGTAAGTTGTTAAGAGTGTTGTCAGGTAATGACTTAATCATCTTGTAGGTGATTCGGTCATAGCCTCCTGCCGAGTTGTTGTTCTTTTTCCTTAATGTCTCCACTAATTCTTCATAAGTTATCGCTAAGCTGCAATCAGGAGTTATTTCCTTATTTCTTTCTAGTGAAACTTCACTGGAAGCTACCTGCTGTTTGAGCATGTTTAAAAAGTTCAAGTTGTCTTCTTTGGGCCAGTGGGTCTTATTGCTGTTCTGATAGTCCCCTCTCATGGCTTTAACGAACCTCCATGCAGTTCTTGTTGTGGGCTGATAATTGATTTCCATTATTTTCTCCTCAAAGTTATTTTTCTTAGCTTATTTGACCATTTTTTCCATAACGTCTTTGTTTCCGCTACCTGATCAAGATTTTCTATAGAAGGTAACCTTCCGCATTTGTACTGAGCTACTTTGAGTAGTCTGAAGGTCTTCTCCAACTCCTTATTCCACCAGGTTTTAGGTGTTATATCACTACTTAGATAATAGGTTGCATTTTGTATTTCTTTTTTCGTCATGTTTTCAATGTCTGGTATATTGGGTTCTGTTTGCGCATTCCTGAGCGCCTCATGTAATATTTTTTGAGCTACAAATGTGGTCGGTCCCTTGGTCACTGTTTGTGTATTGATGGTGATAGGGAAGTGGTGGCTTCCCCCTATTCTAATAGGGTCAACAGACCATTGCAGTTGTAGACTTGTGTTGGTAAATGAGAGATCTAACACTGACCCTGCTACTTGGTTAATATTTCTTTGAAAAGTGATGGAACCGTCATTTAAAAGAAAAAAGTTGTGTTGTTGAACAATGTTGTATAGATTCTTACCTCGGCATGAGTTGACTGTGTCACCCCACTGAGTGGCCCTAGCATTAAAGTCGCCCAATAGTAGTACATTTGTGTAGTTTTCAAGGACGCCGAACAACTTCTTGATCTCGTCATTGAACACATTGATGGGTATGTTTGGGGGAAAATACACAGCACATATCACCACATTTGGTATTAGGTTTCGCGATTGGATTATTAGAATATCATATTGCGTGATATATCTAATTTTAGTAAATTTGATGTGTTTTTTTAGAACTATGGCAACCCCACCATAGCCGTCCTGTCTGTTTTTCGACACTGAGTTAAAATTTAATATTTTTTTTGGTGTTGACCCCTGATGTGAAAAAGTTTCACTAAGTACTGCAATGTCATAGTTGTAGTTATTAAGATAAAATTCTAAGGTATGTAAATTAGCATTAAGCGACTGTATGTTATGTTGAAGAATTTTCATTAGGTTTTGGATTTCCGTTCTGTTGAAGAGAGCGCTACACATTCACCTTAGCAGAGGCTACAAGAATACGTTTTCACCTACATGCACATTGTATTTTATTTTATATATTCATGTGCCCACCTATGCACATGTATGCAGAATTGAATTTATCTAAATTATATGTATATTGAATTACATACTTACATATTGACAAGCATTATTGAATACACAAAGCTTGCGCAAACATGTACTGAACTAACTAGAATAGTGAATACGGCCACTAAGGCGACTATGTATAGTAGTGAATGCGGCAAATGATGGCAACTATCATTCAGCACTTTGTAAGCACATATATATACACAAAGTACTTAACTAGTTGAAGTAACGAGTGACAGAAGTTGTTTGCATTTTTATACTTAGAATTTTCTACCGCATTATTCGGACGTGGTTTGCCAAATAACCCTCCTTTTATTAACTCGCACTTGTGTTGCAATTAATTCGATAAGTTTTGTTTAAAACAATAAAGTATTGTTGAAGTCACTTTGAACTACAGAAGCTCGTTTGCATTGTATACGCGGTAGTTCTCTGGATGGCCTAAGGCAAATATTAAGATTCCTATATTGTTCGTCGGTTTCCGGTAGTCGGTCCCTCTGGCCTGATCTGTGACTGCGCAAAATAACATTTTCCCTGAAGGAATCAGTGCATCCCTGGTACCTGGTGCGACCAATTGGTAGTCACAGCCATACGTATAGTTAAAGGATCTGCGCAGCATTGAGGTTAGACCAGGAGTGGTTTGGGTACATATCCTCAGTCAAGCGGGAGTCTCACCAGTTAAGGATTGAATCCGAGCACAACTCGTAAAAACCAGCGTCAGCCAGGAATATACCACGAGTCAGGTATCAGGCCAGCAAACACTGGTCCTTCGTCGCCTCCATTCGAAACCAGCCCGCAACAGCCCAGGCGGATCACCGCAACTCGGAATAAGTACAAAAACATCTATAAAACCGTAAGTAAGAACCTCAACTTTCTTACTAACCCCACGGCAATA